TAGAGCTGATGCTCCCACGAGTGTGTGCGCCAGAGCCGTGCGGCACTGCAGCCCGCGTTCTCATTGTGTCCGTGGCTAACGCTCGCAACCCCGGTGTTGTTGTTCTCTTAGAGCCTGACGACCACCTCACAGTAGCCGAGTCTCTGAAGAGGGAATTTGACAACCCCAGCACCGCGGACCTGAGATTCCTGGTGGATGGAAAGTACATTTATGCACATAAAGTCCTTCTCAAAATCAGGTATGGAATCACTCACCTTGAGAATTACATAAGCACGTACATTTGTTATTTGCCAAGGAACTGCTCTGGGCACCCCAGTGGCCATGGACGCTGCGAGGCCGGTGTGCCCTCTGACAGCGGGGGTGGCGCAGGCAGGAGCTTTCTTCCAGGGCTCCCACTCCCCCGGCTTCCTTACAGGAGCTGACCAATGGCCCGTGGCTTGGGGAGCAGCCAGCTGCCGGGGTGAGTGTTGTGTGCTGTTGGCATTGCCAGCTTCAACACAAGTCAACCTCTGCGCTAGGCGCCGGGCTCAGCCGGGAACACCCCTCTCCCCACTCAGCTGTGGGGGACGGAACTCTTAGAGGCTTGGAAAAAAGAGAAGATCAAGCTTTTCCAGAGCACCAGATCCAGGATAGAGCTAACACAGGTTTTTAAAAAAGTCAAATATATTGGTATAAATTTTGACCAATGAGTTACAGCCATTTAAAATCCATTTAACATGCACGTTTGAGGAGCTTTGACATATGAATGCACCTGTGAAAGCATCGCCCCGAGTCAAGATCGAGAATGTTTCTGTCACTCCTCAGACATCCCTGTGCCCTGGGCTCTAGGGCAGGTAATCTCTTCTGTCAGATGGTTAGCATTTTCTAGAAGTTTAAGGAAATGGAATTACACAATATGTTTTTTTCTGTGCCTGACTTCTTTCTTTTCACATAATGATTTTGAAAACCATCATGTTGTCTAATAGATACTTAAATCCCACATCCCACTGCAACATATAACAAGCTCAATATAGCATTTTAGTCTCAAGCCCACTTCTCAGTATTGTCAGGCTGTACAACATTTGTTCACTTTTACTATAGCCCATAAACCTTCATAAAGGGTGTATGTGTGCATGTGTGTGCGTGTGTGCATGTGTGTGCGTGTGTGCGTGCGTGTGTGTGTGCGCGCGTGTGTGTGCGTGTGTGCGTGTGCGTGTGTGTGTGTGTGTGTGTGTGTGAGTTTTCCAGGGCTACTGTAACAAAGTACTACAAACTGGGCTTCAACAACAAATGTATTCTCTCACAGTCCTGGAGGCTGGGAGTCAAGATCAAGGTGCTTACCGGATGGGTTCCTTCTGAGGTCTGTGAAGAAGAATCTGACCCATCAGGCTTCTGGCTTTTGGTGGTTTGCCGGCAGTCTTTGGCATTCCTTGGCTTGTGGCAACGTAACTCCAACCTTCACACGGTGTTCTCCCTGTGTGTTTACGCACCTGTGTCCAGACTCCCTCTTTTTCATAAGGACACCAGTCATAGTGGATCAGGGTCCACCCTAACGGTCTCATTTTAGCTTGGTAACTTACTCTTTAAAGACCCTCTCTTCAGATACTGTTATATTCTGATGTTAGGGCTTCAACATATAAATTTTCTGAGAGACAACTCAAGCCGTGACAGGAAGTGAAGAGACAAAATTACTCAGCGGTTACAAAAATAGCCTCCCCTGACTTCCTCCCACGATGCCGCTCAGTGGCCGTGGTGGTTACTCTCAGGAGGCAGCGCTGTCTCCGCCCCGTGTGGCTGCAGGGCCAGCTCTCCCACAGCAGGCCTGCATGGGCAGCCTGGTTAAGTTACTGGTTGGTCGAAAACTGGCCAGCAGAGGAAGTGAGGGGCCAGAGCAGGGACACGAAGGTGTGCAACTTGGTGAGTGTCATGTGTAGTGTTGTGTTTCCCTTCTCCTTGTTAGGATTTCCTTCTTGAAGTCCCACAGGGGTGAACTCCTTGTGTTAACTGCTCTTGCCGAGAAGCTGGGACCTGGCATGCTTTTCTTCCTCCAGGTGTGAGCATTTTCGTTCTTCGTTGGACAACAATGAGGACGATATTGTAGAAATGAGTGAATTTTCGTATCCCGTTTACCGAGCCTTCCTGGAATACCTGTACACAGACAGCATCAGCCTTCCCCCTGAGGAGGCAGTAGGTAATTAATTACCACCTGACTTTACCAAGAGATTGGCAAAGTGTTGGGTAACCTGGCAAGTGATTTCTGTGGAGCCTAAATGGATGTCGCTGTGCGTGCAATCTCAGGAGTTCTCTTTTTGTGTGTTGAACCCAAACTTTCCCCCCTTGTTACTAATCATTCAGAGGCTGACTGAATAGATAAAATAAGAGATAGATGAATTATCACTGTGCCGCGGGTTCCACTCTTACTATATGTTAGTATTGTACATAACTTTTAGCTATCATATCGATTGCCCTCAAGATGTTTTCATTATAAAAGAGATAAAATCCACATCATAAGCCCTGCTGGTCTCTGTATCTGTGAACCTCCATCCCAGATGGCTTTGGGATAGACCACTGTGGTGCATCCCATCCTGAAGGGAGTGAGGGGCGGTCACCTGACATTAAAAAAGCAACACAGGGTACCTAAGTTTCAGTTTACAGCTGTAAGGAACTAAAGAAAGAGTTCAATCCCCAAATTTTTAAACATTCATTTGATGTGTTTATGAATGTCAATAATTTTTTTTTTTTTTTTTTTTTACCAGATTAGCATGTAATTTTACTCAGGAACAAAAGTCTGATTTTTGAAGTTTTACAGTTTCCTTCCTTTCTTGACAATGTTTTAGTGCCCATGCCTACTGTGAGCTGCAGCTCCTTTGGGAGTCTGCAGAGACAGAGCCCTGCCTTTGTGGGACTTGTATTCAGCTGAGGGAGACCAGCCCTAAGCAATAAATGCAAGCAGTCAGTCAGGAGGGTCAGGAGAAGCCTCCGTCGGGAAGAGCAATGAGCAGAGCTCTGGGGAGTCAGGGGTGGGCCGTGCAGATACCCAAGGAAGAGCAGTGTAAGCATGCGTAACAGTGCGTGCAAAAGTCTAAGACAGGAACAGACTTAGCATGTGGATGAGGAGGAGGAAGGCCAGGATGGTTGTAATGGACTGAGCAAGGCTTATACTGGGAGGAATTAAGAAGTTGAAAGCTGGGCAAGATCATACCCAACCATGAAGGCCATGGCGAGGAGCTTGGGTTTTTTTTTTCTTGGTGTGAGGTTTTGAGCATAGGTTTGTGCTATTTAGGGTTTGCTTTAATTCTGACAGTAAAATGAGGGGGAGGGGAAAGAGGAAGTAGCTTACACCAGAGTGTCTTTCTCTCTCACACAGGGATACAGGGCAGGGCATTGCTGTCTGTGAACCCTGTGCTCATGGTCCAAGACCGCATTTGCATTACAGGCAGCAGGATGGAGGAAAGGACAGCGACAAAGGGGTGAAGGGCAAATGCCCAGAATCTTACTGGAGGAAGGGTCCTGTAAGTCCCACTTACTTCAGACCATGGATCGGAGCTGGCCAAGCCATAACCCAGCCAGATGCATAGGAGGTGGGGGGAAATGTGGTCATATCCAGGTGGCCATGACTGTGTGTGTAGTGGAGAAGCAACAAGTAGCTTCCACCATAGGAATGACATGATTCGTCTTTAAAAGATCAGTGATTCTAATGCTTCCGGAATGAGGTGAGTTAGTGGTGTAGCTGTGGTGGCGTTGAAGAGACCAGATTCTGGGTGTTTTAAAGTTGGAGCTGATGGTATTTGCCAATGGCTGGGCTGTGGGTGTGAGGGGAAGAGAAGGATGATTGCGCTGAGGTGCTTGAGTGGCCGGGGTAATGGAAGTATCACTCACTGAGGATGGGAAGGTGTTGCTCTTGAGTTTGAAAATTCGAAGGAGCTGATTAGACATCCAAGTGGCTGTTATTTTTATCAGCCCCGCCCCCCTCCCCCGCCCCCCCCACCCCACCCCGAATACAGGGCCCTGGACAAGAGTCCAAATAAAGGGCTACGTGTCATACACCTACAAACTTAGTTATATGTGATGCTAACTTCAGATAAAACATGTCCAGTCCTCAGACCTCGAAAAGCGTACCTTTGTTGAGAGCCGAAAGGCCAGGTTTAAGTGTCAGTTGGAATCTAGAGTTGTGCGACTCCGTGGAGCTCTGTGCTGAACACAGTGGCATGGGAGGCACAGGCATCTGGCCTCCAGCTTGCCGCCAGGTGCCTTTCTTTCCCCACCACCAGCCACATTCTGCAGCACAAGGGGTGTGTGGGCACCACCGCCTGCATGTCCAAGCTCAGCCACCCCCACCGAGGGCCACCCCTTGAGGCTGGGGGGCTGTGCTTTGGTGTATGGTTTGGAGGGGAGGGAATACCCACACATGTGGTCTCAGAGCGAGTTAGTCGGGGAATCCCAGGGTCCCAGACACCCAAAGTGTGCCCTAAGTAAGAATGGGTACACGGCCCCTTGACCACACTTTGGTGGTGAGGGGTGTGCCTGGCAGAAGTACAGAGTGAGGCCTCCCAAGCAGAGACGAAGGGAGGATCCTGTCTTGGGGCAGTTCCTGCGAGTCCCGGTCGGTGTGAGTCTGGAGCTAGGCCGTGCAAGGGGCTGTTGGTATGAGTTTGGGAATTGTTGAGAACTGACCAGAAACCACTGAGCCACTCACAACTCTTGACGGTTTCAGTATCCTCCAATGGACCACAGGCTTTTTTCCCCCTATCTTTGATAATGTGCGTCAGATTACAAAGAAAGCAAGTTTCTGACCAAATTCTTCCACACGGACAAAACTCAGTAGCGGACACGAACAGAATAGTTGATGTTGTGAGACGGATGAAATCCCTGCTGTCTGTCCGTTAGGCCCTCTATAAAGTAGCTTCTCGGAAGGTTAGCTTGAAGGAGATGGAACGATATTCTAGTAGCAGGGTTTAGCTAACCTTTTGACCAGCCTATACTGGATGTAGACCTACCAAATGGACTACTTAAGCTCATGGTGCTTGAATGCAATTCATGCGAAGGCAAAAGCACCCTCGCGATACTTAGAGCCAAGCCACATATCCTAAACACTACTCATTTCACCAGTAACAGGGTACTTCTAGCCCTTTTTGAAAATTTACGTATAATAGTATCTGAAACTCCTGACAAGGGTCTTTCAAGTGCTAACTGGCCATGCCTGACTGGAGTGCTTTATAGTGTCCTACGGGGAAGAGAACAATTACTGGCATTTGAAACCACCGGGCTGGAACCACTGAGGGCAGCGGTCGCCAACTGGTGGTCCCTGAGGTCCGAAAGGTTGGTGACCGCTGACTTAGGGGAATAAGTGAAATAAGAATATGAGGATTGAACCCTGGGGCACTCAAACATTTCAAACTCAGGAAAAATGTCTAGCCAAGAGACTTTAGAGTAACTAATAAAAAAGAAGAAAAACATAAGCAAGTCACAAAGCATTTCAAGAAAGGGATGATCATCAGCCACAGGAAATTTTAAAAATATATATATTTTATTGATTTTTTTTACAGAGAGGAAGAGAGAGGGACAGAGAGCTGGAAACATCGATGAGAGAGAATCATCGATCAGCTGCCTCCTGCACATCCCCTACTGGAGATGTGCCTACAACCAAGGTACATGCCCTTGACTGGGACCTTTCAGTCTGCAGGCCGATGCTCTGTCCACTGAGCCAAACTGGTTTTGGCTAGCCACAGGAAATTTTGTGTCCTTTTTGAAAAAGATGAAACTGGAGAATAGCCTTAGACTTGGCATTTTGGCAGCCTTTAGTGACAATCCCAGGTGTGATGTCAGGAGTGGAGGGGATGGAATTATGCCTGGAATGGCTTGAGATGAGAATTGGAACTCAGAAAATGGAGGCAGCAAGCAGAGGACTCTCCCTGGGAGGTTTGCTGTAGAGAGGAGCAGCGAAACGGGGTAGGGTGATGAGAGTCAGACATGTCTCCATGAAAGGTTTTTATTTATTTACTTTCTTTTATAAAGAGATGAGCGCTATTATAGCGTGTATGCATGCTGATGGAAATGACCCTATTGCAGACATTGGTAATGCAGGCAGGCAGATAATTAGAGGGGCATTTCTAGGAAACATTAAAGCCTTGCTCACTGCTCTTATTTTTCCCATGGCTGCCGCTTTGTTGTTGTATTTGCTCAGGTCAGCTATGTTCTTGGGGAAAGCCATCTGCTCAGAGTGTATGAGCACGAGTCTATCTATACAGCTTCACTAAGGATTATATTCCAAACAATGTCCAAAACTTCGTAAGGGTTGAGTGAGTTTAAATTAGGATGCTTGAAGTCACTCCCCCCCATAAACATCTCTTTCCACCAGGATTGCTAGATTTGGCTACATTTTATAGAGAAAATCGTTTGAAAAAGCTCTGCCAGCAAACTATCAAGCAAGGCATCTGTGAGGAGAATGCCATTGCTCTGCTCTCTGCTGCTGTGAAGTATGACGCTCAGGTAAGAAAAGCATTTTTTTTTTTTCCAGTTAGCTTTCCTTCTGGAAGAAAAATAGGTAGGTGTCTACTTCATATCTTTACATTAGGTAGGTTAAATACTTAATGTAAACAAATACAATAAAATATCAAAAGAAATATTAGTGAATATAATGTTAGGGTGGATCTCAAAGGCAGGAAGCCATAAAGGAAAGGATTAATGGATTTGATTAAAAAAAAAAAAAAAGATGCTTATACACCAAAAAATGCCACAAAGAAAATTAAAAAGTAAATAATATGCTGGGAAATTTTTTGCAACATATGATAAAGCAAGCTTACCATAATGTATAGTTCTTAAAAATAAAAAGATAATATGAGCGACTTGACTGAAAAAATGAACCATATAGATTTATGAACAAGTGAAAAATATAAATAAAAACATTTGTCACACCAGGGAATATATTTTAATTTAATTTATTTATTTATTTATTTATTTTTTAAATATATTTTATTGATTTTTACACAGAGAGGAATTGAGAGGGATAGAGAGTTAGAAACGTCCATGAGAGAGATACATCGACCAGCTGCCTCTTGCACATTCCCCACTGGGGATGTGCCCGCAACCAAGGTACGTGCCCTTGACCGGAATCGAACCCGGGACCTTTCAGTCCGCAGGCCGACACTCTATCCATTGAGCCAAACCGGTTTCGGCACAGGGAATATATTTTTAGAAATACTACAGCTCAGAACAGTGGCTGTTTTCCTAAACTGCTGATGAAAGTGCAAACTGGTACAATCATTCTGGGGCACAGTTTGGTATTACATGTATTAAAAACTCTAAAGATATAATTCTTTAAGAAGTTCACATAAAGAAGTAATCATGGGTTTGGACAAAAATTAACTTAAAGATGTTTATTGCAGCATTATTTATAATTTTGAAATGTTAGAAAAAGTCAATGTGAACCCTAGAGAATTATTTAAACTATATGGAATATTAATAATACGAAACCATGCAGCTATTCAATGTATATCATTAACTGAAAAACTATGGTCCCATTTTCATTTTTTAAAAAAAGTGTAAGTAGCTCAATTTAAAAAGACTTTTTTTTTTTTTTCATTATCTACGAAGAACAAAGACTGAAAAATATAGTCAGTGGTTATCTTTAGATGGTGGGATTATGGATGGTTTTCATTTCCTTATCTTTATTTTTTTTTCTGAACTTTGTGCAGTGACCATGTATTGTTTTGATAATAAAGAAAGGAAAGAAAACCTGTCTTAGAGCTGAATCTTTAGGAAACAGGCTCTACTTCTTGGAGTTGATTTCCTTTTGTTATAAGAATATCCTCTCCTTCGGTTAAAAAAAAAACAGGGACATTTTAGTGGTGGGTGGAAAAAAGGTTTTAACCTTTTTTGTGCTTATATAAATAATAATATGCTTAGTAAAGAAAATTTGAAAAATAAAAAAAGAATAAGGAAATGACTCATCAACCAGAGAACATAATGTATTCACACAGCTCCTTCTAATCTTTTCCTAGATTACATTATGTATCTCTCTAAATATTAGTGTTTTTTTGTTTGTTTTACAAAGTCTCACCCAGCTAGAAACATTGACATTTAAAAGCATGGTGAATGTTGGTCTTGCATCCTGGTAATACAACATGCAAAATGCTTTCTGGCAAAAAAAGAAAAAAAAAATCAATGTGCTTTTTGTAGTTTGTTAAAATCATGGTGATAATACTGGACTCTGGTGAGCCACCTCTGATGGCGATATGGTGGATGTATTGTGTTTCCATCTGAACTAGGCTTAATTTCCAGGAATTTTTCCTATTCCCTACTTATGTGAATTATTTGTATGGTTAAACCTTCCAGCCCTCTGTTTTCTAGAAAGTAAGCACTTGAAGAATGGCAAGGACTTTGCTTTGCTAACAACCAAATCCTTACTGCTCAGGATACTGCCTGACATATCAAGAAATGCTTGTTTAATGAATTTCAACTTTGCCTATAGAGGCACTGTATTTTACTGTAGCCCATTTAATTAATTTTTGTACCTACATTACATAAGAGACAATCAGTAAAGGAGACCATATGTATACTTAAAATACGGGTTTTCATAAAGAACAGTATTTGCTGTCTTGTTTCAATTCAGTGTGCTATAGACAAAAAATGTCATTTCTAAAAATTTAAGCAAGAGTCCATAGTTTCAAATGAATATTGGTATATTCAGTATGTACTAATGAAGCACATTTTTATGTATAGTCACATGTTCTGATAGTGTGTGTGTGTGTGCATGTGTGTGTGTGCGTGTGTGTGTGTGTGTGTGTATTTTTGGCTATTCTATCTATCACCTAGGGCTTACCAGGGACTTAGAGATGTCATATTGCCAGTGTGACCCTAGCAGCCTATGTAGCTGTTTAGGGGTGAAATGGATAGGTTTTCTTCATGTAGTTTGTTTCTTTACTTAAAACATACTGTGAATTTGATTGGCATGACTATTAATACTGTGAACTTTTGCCTGTGTTTTCATCTCTTGCACCTGCTATAATTTACATGTGTAATGTGTCTATGTGTATATGTGATTGCTTGGACATTATTTGGGGCTTTTAAAATAAACCAGCAGAAAATTTTGGTTTGACGTCTACCTGGCAGCACCTTGTCCTGGGTCAAGAGCAGCGTAGCTCAGGGTCAAAGGCCACCGGCGTCTCCGCCAGCCGGCCTCATTTCAGCTCTCATTTGGGGCCAAAATAGGATCCAGCCACTTTCATTCTGTCCCAAGTTTACAAATCTGATCAAGAGAGGTACTATTGGACTATTCATTGGCCCAGAGTGAATTATAGTAAGGCAGAAACACCATTTTGAGGAGTTTCTTTTAGGAGAGGGAAAGTCATGATTTCTTCATTTCCCCAGTTAAGATTACTGAAGGTAATCAGGGTCTGATGGAACCATCCCATCTTTCAGTATTTGTTAAAAGTATGACACTCCTCTTTTATATTCCCTTTGGATTATATTCAAAATAATATAGACAATACACAAAAGGGTGGGGAAACACTCCCCCCCCCCCCCAGAGCGATTTAGATATTTTTAACATCATTGGCAGGCCATACAAAAGTATCAACTTAAAAATTAATCTGCTCTATTTGGTTAAACATTTAATTAACTCATTCCTAATAACTTGGCAGGGCCAGATGGAATGATTCCGTGGGCTTATAAGGCCCATGGGCCGGACGCTCCCCACCGCTGCCCTAGGGGAAGGTACTGGTAAAAGAGGAGTGACATACTTTTAACAAATACTGAGAGTGGAATGAATAGTACAGATACCAGTACTCTCCCTGTGAAAGGCACAGAATTCAGACGTGTAGTTGCCTCTCTCTGGTATTGGCTGCTGTGGAGGAACCTGAATGTTTTACTATGTCATTTACATTTTTACAACCATAGATTCATATTAGCACTAAAGTTTTATAACTATTCTTTAGGGATTGCCATACCAATTCAATAGGGATTGCCATTCCAATTTGCTATCAAATCCTTTTTCCTTGCTTGTGTGTTTTCATTCTATATTGCGTTGCATTGAAAAATATGAATTTGTTAAAATATATTTTGTTGTTCCTAGGATTTGGAAGAATTCTGCTTCAGGTTTTGTGTGAACCATTTGACTGTAGTAACACAAACTTCAGGCTTTGCGGAAATGGACCATGACCTCCTGAAGAACTTTATCAGCAAAGCAAGCAGAGTTGGAGCCTTTAAAAATTGATCCTCGCCTGCAGGAAAACATTTTTAGCATTCCTGTCTTCCCTTTAAAAGCCAGAGAATAACTTCTCTTTAATACTATTAATGATGAGCTACCTCTGGCTGAATACTTACATTCTGTCAAAAGAGGGATGGTGATCAGTCTTCCCCATCTGCTGAAATCCAGAGTTTATAAAAAAGGAATTAAACTCTCTGATCATATGTGACTAAGCTCCAGGGAAAACCATTAAAATGTCTTATTATATTTACCATTTCCTCTTTTGAGTCACTTAAGTTGGACACTTTTGGCATATAGATCTAAATATATGCTAGTCTGGCCGAATGTTCTGTTATTAGACAACATGACAAGAAATGCTGTCACCTCCACATTTTCAGCATCCAGCACCTAGCATATAGTAGGCATACAATTAATTTATTATAAGTGTTAAGTATGCCCTGAGAATAGTGTTTTTTGGGGGGGAACAATAGATGAAGGAGTAAGTTGTACAAAAACAGATTAAAGCAGCATGCATCTGTTAAGGTTCATATTCTTCTGGTACATTGTTATGAGAAATAGTGGCTAATTTAGAGCATTAATTAGAATTCACAAAAGGCCTTGGCAAATAAATTGTCAAAGACCTAAGGGCTAACTTTAATTTTCTATTTACTTTGAGTCATTGATTTCGCTTATGGGATTATTGAATATTAAATACTATCTTTGAATGAATGTTATTTCTGGGCTCACCTGCCTTACATAATTGCAAAATGTCCTTTGCTTTTGTGTTGAGAGATTTGCCTCTGTATATAAAAATGTTTGTGTTTTTCTTGTAATTGTCTTTTATGTCACTTTAAATCAGGTCTCTTAACCCAGCTGAAAAAGCACTAAAACTTACATTTCGTATACAGCATTAGGAAGAATGAGAAAAATTTATACTTTTTACATCAAAACACGTTACCCAATTGCAAAATAAAAACTGGAATGACATATAGGATAGTATCAGATCCTCCTAATACCATGTTTCCCCCAAAATAAGACATCCTCCGAAAATAAGACCTACTTACAGGTTTCCTTCTGAGTGAAATATAAGGCATCCCCCGAAAATAAGGCCCCCCTAGGCTAAACATGAGAGATTTGGTCTACTGAATCTGAAAGAAATTTCACAAGAAATTCACCAGGAAATTCAGGAATTGGATTGTTATGATGATGTTCCAGAAGATGATGACATGATTGTCATTGAATAAATGAGTCAATTCTTGATACTGTAGGATTCACAGTTTGTCTGGTTTGTGTTGACAACTACCGTACTACCGTACCGTATACAGGTAATAAATTTCCTTTATTTTCATTTAAGAATAAATGTGTACTGTATTCTTCTTCATGGAAAAATAAGACATCCCCTGAAAATAAGACGTAGTGCATCTTTGGGAGCAAAAATTAATATAAGACACTGTCTTATTTTCAGGGAAACAGGGTATGTTTCACAATATGATATTATGTAAAGAAAACTCTTGAAACTAGAAACCTGAACAATTTGATAATAAAGTGCTTATTTGAATATAATAGATGTGTTTTTTAAATTTATTAAAAATGTTTTTCAAATAGTTTCTATTCAATATTATTTTGTATTAGTTTCAGGTGTACAGCATTTTGGTTAGAAATCATGTACTTTTATAAAGTGTTCCCCCAATATTTCTAGTACCCACCTGGCACCATCCTATCTAATAAAGAGGGGATATGCAAATTGACCATCACACCATCACAAAGATGGTGGTACCAATCGTCTCAAGATGGCTGTGCCTAGTCCCCTAAGCCCTGCCAGAGTCCCCCAGTTCTTTCAGCCCCATCGGGGGTATGGGACGGCAGGCACACGATGTGGCTGGATCCATCCTCAGCCCCCCAGACACCCAAGGTGCAGGCAAGCCTCAGATGGCGACTGCCCAGCTGCCCAGGGCCATCCAAGACTTGCGCTGCCAGCAGTGGCAGCAGCAGAGGTGTAATGGGGACATCACCTTCCCCTGATCACTAGGTCACCTCCTGCCCCTGAGGACTCCCAGACTGTGAGAGGGGGCAGGCTGGGCTGAGGGATTCCCCCTCCAGGGCATGAATTTTCATGCACCCGGCCTCTAGTACATACATAATTATTACAATATTATTGACTATATTTTCTATGCTATATTTTATATCCACACTAGAGGCCCGGTGTAAGAAATTCATGCACGGGGTGGGCGGGCAACCAAGCTGGCAGGGGAGGGCAGTTAGGGGTGACCAGGCCAGCAGGGGAGGGCAGTTAGGGGCAATCAGGTCAGCAGAGAAGTAGTTAGGTGTCAATCAGACTGGCAGAGTAATGGTTAGGGGGTGATCAGGCAGGTAGGCAAGCGGTTGGGAGCCAGCAGTCCTGGATTGTGAGAGGGATAGCCAACTGTCCGTTTAGGCCCAATCCTGGTGGGATCTGGCCTAAATGGGCAGTCAGACATCCCTCAAGGGGTCCCAGATTGGAGAGGGTGCAGACTGGGCTGAGAGACATCCCTATCCCCCGTGCACAAATTTCATGCACCGAGCCTCTAGTGTCATATATTCCACATTTATTTATTCACTTGCTGTCTTTCCCCCAAACTAGAAATAGAATGAAAGTTCCATAGAGATGGGATTTTAGTTTTGTTTTTTTTTATTAACTTTTATCATCACATTTAAAACTATGATTGGAATATAGTAGGTACATGGCATCTGAAAAGAGGAAGATAATATTATTTGCTTCTATATACTTGTATGGTCAAACAAATCCTCTGAACTGAGCACTGAATGGCAAGATTCTAGGGAAAGAGCATCTAGAGACAGAAGGAATAGCAAACATAGCTATAGGGACAGGTTTGGCATCATTAGAGAATGGTCAGTGTGGCTAAAGCACATGAAGCAAGTAGAAAGTGAGCTGAGAATGGAGAAGGAGGTAGGGGCCACTTCACAGGCCACGATAAGGAGTGTGAATACTTCAAGTAGGGTAGCAATGAAAATCAAGTTACATTTTAAAGGGATCATTTTTGCTCTCCATGGAGTTGAAAGGTAAAAAGGAAAGGGGAAACATGGAGACCTGGTTTGTCTGGGTTGTCTTAGAGAGAGGGAAAAATCATTGAAATCTTTAACAGTGATCCAGGCAGGAATTAATAGATGACTCTTAGGTTTTTTGCTCAAGCAAGTGTTTAGTAAAATGGGGAAAGACTAGGGTAGAAACAAGGTATTTTTGTTTGATTTTGGTTTATACTTTGAGAAGGTGAGAGGGGGGAGGAGTAGGAATGAAAAGTTCTAGTGGCTATGAGAGCTTGACTTTCATGAAGAAGTCAGGCTAGAGAGGTAAATTTAGGGATCATCAGCATATAAAACCAGCTAAAGGCTAAGAACAGATGAGTTACTAGTAGAGAGTTCAGATACCATATAAGAGAACATTAGTGCAATTACCACAAAGACCACAATAGACCATTAAGACTCAACAACTAATTTATTTTAAAATAGACAAATTATTAATTGTAGAAAATAGTAACACAGCAATATTAAATGTACAGTTTTATCCAGTACAAAAAAGCAATAAAGTAAATCTGAAGCTTTATTTAAGAAATCTCAATACACTATCTCTGTAGTTCCTAAAACTCTGGCATTATTTCTAATGGGAGTTTGTTAGCAAAAAGCTCAGAAATATGGTAAGCCCTTGACCTAACAGCTAACTGATTTGTATGATATTCATGCAAAAATTAATGAGGGAATGTAGTAAGCATTCTAGTGCCTCTGTTATCAAGATAACTGTAAAAATAAAAGTTTGAAACTTAATTGAGCATAAAATAAAATTTTGTTTTCTAACAAACAGCACAGACTTCTTTTTAGAAAGAGTTTAGACAGAAGTGATTTTCCTAAAAGCTAGTTGATGCTACCTTAAATACCATCTATTTTAAATTATACCATCTCTAAATAACTTAATCACACAAGATAGTTCAAACACACCTTAGGTGCCAGGAGGGAAAGCACCTCTTTTACAATGCAGCTATTTTGAAATTTTTGCAAAAAAAAATTAGAAACGGTAATGTCTAATCCAAAGGCCTTTGAATATGTACTTGAAATTTTGAACTAGAAATAATGTGGCTGTGAATGTGCCAGTGTTAGACCATCTGATGTTAAAAAAAAAAAAAAAAAAAAAAAAAAAGATAAATAGACAGTGGCCAGCTCTAAAGACACAAGGAAGACATGTACCATTCAAGAGAACACACACCCCTTCCCAAATTTAGGAGGGCAGAATAACTGCTGAGATGCAATTAGACTAATCTCTGAGAAAAAAAAAATTAAGACTCCTGATTTAACAGTCTGTTTTATGGAGTAAAATTATTTTGAATTTTGATTCTTCAGGACCCAGAAACATTAGAAAGTGCACTTTGGATATATGTATTAGGGTCCTCTGCAGCAAAGCTATGGCTGAACACTTCATTCTCCAAGTACTAGATGGATACTTTCTGAATTCAGTCATCTGAACAGTATAACCAAGAGCACTATTAATAACCCTAATTTTAAAGTATGAATTGGATGAAAAAAAAGAATCAACAAATTCTTAGAAGTCCTGAGGTATGAAATCTGTATCAGTAGTATGACAATATCCTATGTTTATAGTTTGCTTTTTGCTTGTATTTAAAAGCTAAAACTTGTAAAACAAAACACAGTACATCAGATTCCATTAGTAAACTAAAATCTAATGTATAAAAATTAGTAATTTTTTTAATAGTTTCTAATATCTGTTTTAGAAGAATTCAGGATCATTTGGGTTATTGGGGGCAGTCAGCCAAATTATATTTGGAAGACAAGACACATTTTAAAGAATGTTCATGTTAAATTAAAAAAAATAAATATAAATTAATAAAAATAATAGCAAACATCACACATATGCCACAAGAAAAGACAAAGTACTCAGACAGGCATGGGTTGTTGGGACTCCCACTCCCAGGCATCCTTTGGAAACAGAAATACCAGCTACACCTTTAAAATGGCAGATTTTACACAAGATTTTCAATCTTGTACAATAATAATGCATATCCTATTAACTACAGCATTGCAAATGGCTTAGAAATTGTCTGCACAAATATTCAATGTGCACCTGAACATTTTATATTCATAAAAAGAGCAGAAGATATGTATTAAATGTGGCCGTAAACAGAACCTGGGAGTTACACAGTCAGCTCAGTAAGAGCCGGAGGTGAACACAGTACCCACCAAAGTCATGAAATCCTCACTTGGCTTCCCTGTTTGAGATATCTATGTTATCACTCATTTTCTGCTTTTGCATTCGTGTTCGAGTAGATGCTGGAAAAAAATAAAGAAATGTTAATGGCACTGTTGGTGCCAAGTAAGTTGGCAAAGGGTTGCCATATATGTTATGCTTATACTAAATCAGTAGAGTTGTGGAAATGGACATTTAAAAAGTACATTACTAATTACATCATAGACAAAGACAGAACATTTCTTTTTTTTGTTGTTGTTGAATTTATTGGGGTGAAATAGGTTAAAAAAATTACATAGGTTTCAGGTGTAAAATTCTGTAATACATCATCAAGTGTTGTTTAAGTAAGGGTTATGATCTTATATATTCTAAATAGCTAACACTCTTTAAGAGTTCTCATAGTCCTGCTGTCCTGAGCTATCTCCTCCCCACAGCCATCCATGTTGAAGATGCAGTTTCGTTTCTTAGTCATCCTGAGCAAAGTATTTTAGAAAGGGTCAAGATGATCTTTATTTGCATCGTACATTTAAACTGCAGATGTTTGTGTAGATAAATAATACATTCTTGATTAAATTACGTTTTAAATACATGAGCAAGTCCACTAACAGAAGGAATTATATGTATTTATCCTTTTCTAACATGAAAAGTGTTTTTGAAATGTGAAGAATTTCATTTATATAAAGTGAAATAAGTACTTACTCATTTCTGCCAGTTTCTGTTGAAATTTGGACTCTCCTGGGAGATGTTTACTGCAGATGAAAAAAATGTAAAATATTTTATGTGTATATGTATAAATTGAAAACTCAAATTTCCAGTAACTATGGTGCTTTCCATGACTTATTTTATACTCTTATTTTAGTGAGGAGCTTTTAATTTCAAAGGTTTATAAACAAACCATCTAAAATATGATTATTACAAATTTATGATCCTATATAGTTTTTCAACGGTTCTTATAAAACGAGGTAGCTTATATTTTTTAAGAATAAGCATTTTAAAATCTAATGTTAATCAAAAGTAACACAATTTTATCAATATTTTATAAAAAATTATCAGATTTTAAACATCTGATATTTTCAATGTATTTCAGTAGTTGGCATATGGTTTATTTATATGGTGCTTTTAACTCTGGGATGCAGACATATCTGTTATTTTGTGCAATCCTCACAATTTCCAAATAAAATTGACATGAAAGGGATTGATGGGAGTCAAAGCAGAGCTGGTACTGTGGTTCTCCAGATGACCAGCTCAGCTACTAAAAAGCATTCTAAAGCTGTTCCTACCTTCCATCGGCTTCATCTGACCCTTCAATGTCAAAGCGTAGTTTTTTCAGAGGTTTGGGGGGGTTGCCTCCTTCTGCACTTCTTTTGAGCACACGGTCACTGTTACACACCATCTGATTTATTTTCTGGAACTTCTCAGAAGTCTATAAATAACAGCAGAATTCCTTATGAAATTTTTTAATGTTAGCATTTTGTAGTTAGCAACCCTTAACTGTAGTTTGAGGTGTGTAAAAAAAAAAAAAATCAGGCAGAGGTAATACCTGCATTTTAATTTTCTGCTTAAAAATTAGAAAAATCTCAAAATCAGAATAACTATGTGCCCAGTTAATTACTCCCTTTTAAAAAATCTTCCTATCTGACTCCTGCCATGAAAGCCCGGGTTCCTCAGTCTCAGCACACCAAGCCAGGCTTCCTCTTTCTCAGATGCACATAAAGTTGAAACAGCTTTCTGAAACCCTGTTTCTGACTTTTTTAAAAAAAAGACATAACATAACCAGAGGGAATTTCATGAGAATTTAATGAAGTATTCAGTAATAATTTTAGACTCATTTTATGAATATTATGTTGATAAGTCATATAGTTTATATATTTTAAGCCATCACTGATACAATATTTGTTGAAATGCTGCTAAATCATAAAGTTTTTAAAACAACAAATCAAATAACAAGAAGACTTAAGGCCAGGCTAGTGTTCTCAGTGGTTAGTGTCAGCCCGTGCACCAAAGGGTCACGGGTTCAATTTTCAGTCAAGGGCATGTATCTGGGTTGTAGGTTCGATCCCTGGTCTGGGTCGGGGAGCATGTGGGAGACAACCAATTGATATCTCTCTCTCACACTGATCTTCCTCTTTCTCTCTCTCTCTTCTCCTCCCCTCCTCCCTTCTACTCTCTAAAAATCAATGGGAAAAATATTCTCAGATAAAGATTAACAACAACAAAAAATTAAAAATTTGAGTTCATCCAGTATTATTGAAGATGGTTTGAGAGAGATACCCTGAGGGAGAATTTTGAAACAGCAAAGTAAAAAAAGTTTTGGAAGAAATACCAAAGGGGGTATACCTTAACTTATCCCAGTGAAAAACATGTGAAAACATTTTATTTGTCACCTATCTATTTTTGAACCAAGGTGAGGTGACTTTCTCAGGGATGTGTATGAACTAAAAAAGTCAGACTTTCTGATAGAAGTTAAAACTGAATGGTGATGGAAGGAGACTTGAGTTGGGGTGAACACACAACACAGTGTACAGATGATGTGTTGTGGAATTGTGCATGTGAAACCTGTATAATTTTGTTAACCAGTGTCACTCCAATCAATTAAAAAAAAGAAAAAATAGTGAAAAAGTTTTAAATCTGATTTGACTAATTGATTTGAAGTGGGGATTGACTTTGCTGATTATGTTTTATTTTCCAAAAATCAAACACAAAACAGGTTTTGATGCAAAATAGACTTAGAGCACATATGTATGATAGAAACTAATTCCAGTGCACTTATTAAATTTATAAGATTTTTAGTTATCAGCTTTAAAATATGGAAGTTCATATAACAGCACTTTCTCAGTTCTCTTAAAGGTTATGGCAAGCAGGAGAATCTGCATATCACTACTCTCTAGCTATCCAGATCCAAGCCTACTTATGTGTGTCTCCTTTGTGAAGCCTGAGAGCTGTTGCCTACCTTGAGCTAAATGTCACATCATTTTGTTATTTGTAACATACGTTTTAACAGCTGGTCTTTTGGTGTACAAACTTTTAATCTTTCTCTATTTCATTTGGGGAAGAATGGCAGGCAGAATGGCTCTTACTAATTCCCACCTCCTAGTGTTTACACCTGTGCGATCCTCCTGAGTATGGGCTGGATTTAGTGTTGTCTTGCTTCTGACAAAAATAATATGGCAAAAGTGATGGAATGTCACTTATTAAATCTTATCAATTTAATAAGTGCACTGGAATTAGGTTCTATCATATATATGTACTCTAAATGTGTTTTGCACCAAAACCTGTTTTTGATTTTTAGAGAATAAAACTTACTCATTATCTGCCTTTCCTCCCTCCCTCGCTGGAATTTTTGCTCTGGGGGAAGCAAGTTGCTATGCTGTGAGCAGTGAGTAGCCCCATGACAAGCCACAGTGGCAGGGAGCGAGTGGCTTGGCAGACAGCCATCAGGACCAGCCAGCAGCCATACAAGTGCGTTTGTAAGACATCCTCCTCCATTTGAGCCTGAGACACGGCAGCCCCGCTGACATGCTGGCTGCAGCCTTATGAAGACAGGCCCTGGACCCCGCTAAGCCACGCCTGGATTACTGAAACCACAGAAACCCGAGACAAAAAATGTTGGTTCTAAGTTTCTAAGTGTGGTGTGATTTGTTCCGCAGCAATAAATAAATAATAAAGGTAAGAGAAAGGGGAGTGGTGAAACAGTAATAGTAATGCACAATGAATACAGGACTGCTGAATTAGTGATGTTAATGAGAGTAGTAGGTTCCCACTCTAGATTAACTTTCAAGCTAAGCTTTCCCATGGATCCCTCAGGAACAAAGATGGCTATATACCCTAATATTTACACTGGGGCAGAGTGTCATGTAACCAAGGCCTAATCCACTTATTAGAAAAAGAATGTTCTAGAAGTCTGAGAGGAAGGACAAGCAAAAGTGTATATATGTGTAGAAGGAGAAGACCAGTAGGTAGAGATTGGCTGGTGACATTTGGATATGGTGGTTACATTTTGGAGTATCTTATTTAAACCATACTCATAATTAATAAAATTTTAAATGTGTTTACTCTCTCTCTCTCTCTCTCTATATATATATATATATGGACACACACACACACACACACACACACACACACACACACACACACACATATATATGCTGGCACTTGAAATTCGTGCACTGGCAGGGTCCCTAGGCCTGGCCTGCGATCCGGGCTGATCTTCCCCAGCTGTTGGCAGCTAGCCCACCCTCTGCCGCCAGTCGCCTTCTGTGTGTGGGGAGACTGGGGAGGGGGGGGGCTATTGGGGCCCTGTTAGCACTGGTCTTGGCCTGGCACTATCCCCATCTGTTGCCACCCACCCCTAGTTCCCTGTTTCCCATTGGGCTATCAGAGCCTGCCGGCCTGGGTGAGGGCAAAGAGGTTGGTAGTTCCTGCCCGCTCGCTGGCCCTGCTTCCTGCTGCTGGTCACCCTCTGTGTGTGGGGGGCGACAGGCAGGGTGATCGGGTCCCCACTCACACCTGCCTTGGCTTGGCACTGCCCACATCTGCCGCCACTCACCTCTGGTTCCCATTCCCCATAGGTTGGTGAGAAAGCTCCGATCAGGCAACTGGGGCCTATGGGCTGAGGCAGCTCCTGTGTTGAGCATCTGCCCCCTGGTGGACAGTGCGCATCATAGCAACTGGTTGTTTGGCCATCAGGTCAATTTGCATATTATGTTTTTGTGTGTGTAGATATATATCTACATGAATGTATATATATACACACATGTATAATCTCAAAGGAATATTTAGAAAACATTCTATTTGAAAATAAATCTTATACATACATATATATATATATATATATATATATACATATTCTAAATTCTGTAAAACATGACTAAATGAGGTATTTTAATAACAGCATTTATAAATTCAAATTAAAGATATCTCCCATTTCTAGTGCATGTCACTGTATTTGATAGAAAAATACTCACCCCAAATGATTCACCAATGGATACTAAGATTCTGTCAAGTTAAGATAAAATACAAATTAGTAATGAAAATCATACACAACTGAGTAGACAGATATGAACATACACTATCAGAGATGAACTATCAGAAATACCAAATCAAAGGTTTCCTCTACCCTAGAACCACTGATAAATTATACTAACAGATTTATTTTAATGGTGGTAGTTTAGTCCTAGATTTTTAAAGCAAGAACTATGTGTCCGCAAGAACATATTCTGCCAGTGTCACATTTAAAGAGGATAAAATAAAAATTTAAATTTACCTCTACTTAATGATTCCTAAATAAATAGGTAAGTTATTAACACTTCTTTTACATTTTCTCATTAAAAAATCAAGTTACATATGACAAAAATGTATGATATTATGCAATAATCTATTCTAATTAGGATATAGGGTGCTATTTATCATATATCCAAGAATCTGAAATCTCCATTAGTCTGCGTGGTCTTGTTTGAACCATATAATTTATGTTCTTGATAATAGAGCTGAAGAATAGCATTAGCCTGACAAAACAAAGATTTGATGATATGCACAAGGAACTAGTAGACACCCAGATTTTATTGTCCTTTAATTCATTGGTAAGTGGCTGTTAATCTCTATATATTTGACTAACCAGAATACCTAAATATGCTGGGTAAATAAAGGGTTAAGATGCTCTCTTAATGCTTGATCAATGATATATTAGGATTTTCATGGGACTTCTTTGCTAAAGAAGAACTCCAACCCAGAAGTGATTTTACTAGGATCAGCAAATAGCCATCATTATCAGCATAATATGGATTAATTATCGTCATTAAAAAATTATGCTGTATACATTTTCATGTGGAAGTGTGTGACTGTAAATTAAATAAACATGATGTGGCATCTTAGCAGCTTATAACACAAGTTGCAGATTTCAATACTCACTCAACCATAATATCAAATAAAGGATAGAATAGGGGCACACAAGAGCATATATATCATTTGTCAGTTATTTTCTGCCTTATCTGTTCCTGTAGAGCTTGAAATTTTTAGCGTGAGAATGCATTACTTATATAGTTAAACATACCACACAAATATTAATATTATTAATATTATCCCCTCTCCTTGTTTGCTTTTCTTGTCCATTAAGTACAACAGTATGGGCTGACAATTTCCAAGATGAGATGACGTTAACTATAATTGCTAATCTGCCTCCTACTTTCTACAAATAGCAGTTTCAAATAGCCTATGATAACATATAATAAGTCAATTGAAGCACTTCAAAGCCAGAGAGCAGCTGTGGTTGGATGTGGAATATAATATAATGATTTGTGGTTGCACAGAACCTTTCATCTAAAAATTTAAAACTGCTTCACACTCATCATTTCCCAGGTCCACGGCACCTTTCTGAGGCAGACACAGAGAACTGCCCATGCAGTAGGAGTCACGGGAAGAATCAGAGATGGACTTCTAAAGACTTAACTTAGTCAACTACTTTTAATCACCCATCTAACCTTTTATAACAGAGCAAGATGAAAGGGGCACAGAGAGTTTACAGGACATTCAATAAACCACAGAATAACATTTATTAACCAAAAGTACTTTGTTTAGTAGACTGGCTAACAAAAATATGACTTGAAGCCTATTACCAAACTTGTTTTCAGACTGTTTACCAAAGAACAGATCCCAGCATCCAGGAAAGCTAATGCCTTAATTTGCAAACCTACCTAAGTATAAACACAGTATCTTTCACTCCCCCCAAATTCTTATCATGTCACTTAATATAAATAAGCAAATTAGAGATGCAAGAGTATAGCTCATTTTAAATTAAGAAATTTTAAATTAAGAAATTTAAAATTAAATTTTAATTTAAGAAAGATTTATATTTTATGCCTAAATCAAAATAATCCCCTCTTACATTTTACCACTTCCCTAAAGAGAAAACACAAACCTTGATCTTGGAGTCATTTTTGTTGGAGTTGGCAGACCTTCTGAAATTTTATATGGATTCTTCAGGGGTGATATATAGATGTTCCCTCCAGGAATCCGTAAAGGTGAATTAGAAAACTTGTAAGGGCTTCGAGGAATGTGAGGTATTGGTGATAAAGTAGGGGGCTATAGTAAAAGCAAAGAGGCAGATTATTTCCTGTTTTAGTGAGACCCATTGCTTTATAATTAGATTTTCCCAATCAAAGGCTACTTTTAACATACCCTGGTGGAAGCATACTGCAAAATATTTGTCTTTAATCTTTGCATAAAGACCGAGTTATAGAATACTATAATAGAATCATACTCTTCTTCTCTGATCAAAACCCGTTTGAAAGTCTGAGGAAGAATAAAAACACTTGTTAGATTAATTTGGGAATTTGTCTTTAGATTATCTTTTTTAATAGTTTATAATATTTTTTAACAGTAAGAAACACATATTATAAAGAAAAAAATAATCTAAAAAAGCCTGGACTTGGATTATTATAGGGATACAGTATTTCTTATTAACTTTATAATGTAAATTTGGATATTAAAGAGCATTACTTTTCTAATTACATTTTACTAACAAATAATTAACCAATAATATAAAGGCAAAAAATTAATATGTGACTTTATATAATAAGATCAGAATTTATTATCTAATTAATAACTAAAGTTATTCATATTATAGATATGAACCTATCCCAAAAAAATCTTACTATGGAAGATTACCTACCTCTTGAACAGCATGAGGCAGATCCTTATAAGCTGTGACAATGATTTTGAATTTAAGGTCTATATTCTTCACTTTGCATATGCCATACATAGAACACATCATGATCTAATAAATAAATGTGATGTAAAAATAGTCAGAATTTTATAACATGATTGTTTTCTAAAAAGCATTTATCTTTCTTTTTAACCTTAAAAATTGAAATTTAATTTCCTACAAGGTTATCTTTTCCCATCCTGAGTTCAGTTTGAAATCTATGTGAAGTGTTTAACCCAAATTGTATTTAAAGAACAAAACACAAATAGCCAACTCTCGAATATTAAGAACTGATCATTTGGTTTATAAATAACCCTAACTTTTGCTCCTATCCCTTAGATATTTCGCAGAAGATGAAAACTGAAATTGGAATCAGTTCACTCTATAAGTAGCACTTAAAAACAAACAAACAAATAAACAAAAAAACTAGGTATGAAAAAGGTTCATATTATCAGGTAAAATAATATTTAATACAACTTGATAGTAATGGTAAGGGGGATGTACTAACTGAAAGAGGACAGCAGCAAATATGTTGTAGTGTTGAAACTATTAGGTTTCCTAATTTGGGTGCTGGTTATACAGGTGCGTTTAGGTGAGAATTTACATTAAGATGCACCCTTATGGAATTTTCTACATGCATATGACAGTCCAAGTAAAAGTATTTTTAAATGCGAAAATAAGATTTGAAAGGATTCCCTGTGACTTTAAAACATCAAACTTCTTAAATTTGTATAAATGTTATTGCTTAATTTAAGTACTCATATTTTCTGCAACATTCTGTTCACATCTACTATTGCCAAGAATACCTATTCATCATCCCTTGCTCAGCATTCAACCAGCCCCAATCCTACTATTCCTCCCATCAGAAGGCCATCTAATATCCTCTCTGCTAATTCATATTTTTCTCCTACTCCAACACTGTACCTAAGGCACCTCTCATAAAAATGTTTTTTAGTCTAGATACCCAATTTCTTTGGAAATTCTTAGCAATACTGTTCATATCTTTCTAAACAGTAGAGAAGGAGTAGAACCAAAAGGCAACAGGTACCTACTTTAAAAAATCCAACATAATAGAATGTATACATCCAGATATAATTTGGTAAGATATACATATCTGTAGGTTATAATTTATACAATAATTCACCTTTTGTTCAAAACACTTTTACTGAGAACATTATTGCCAACTTTATAGAAATAAAAAATTATAAGGTAACATCTCTCTCTATAACAGCGACACACTGAACAACTGAACAACCAATCGCTATAATGTGTGCTGACCACCAGGGGGTGTGTATGGAACATGGTGGGCATCGGCTGTGGTGGAATGGTGGAGCAGGTAAATAGGGGCTCCAGACCAAGATAGGACACCAGTCGCTGTCATCAGGATGAGCCTCTGGTGGTTTCTGAAAAGTCTTTGCTCCTGCGCACCATGGTCCTGCCCGGTGCTTGCACCTGCGCTGGCCCCTTGCACCTGCTGCTGGCACTGGAGCTGATGCTTGCACCCACAACCAGCACCAGAACCACTGCTCACACCCACTGCTGGCTGCCAGCCCCAATTGCCTGAGGACTTCTCCACCTCCACCTCCCCCTGCAGCTGCCACTTGCACCTGCTGCTGGCACCAGCCCCAATTGCTCTGTGCCATCACTGGGTGTGAATGGGACCAGAGTCATCAGCACATGGTAGTGGTGGGGGCAGGAGTGGGGCTGCTGGAAGAGAGAAGAGAGGGAACTGGGGGCCATGGTGGGAGGGGCCAGGCAGGGGCGTGGAGGATGGGCCGAGAGCCGCCCCTGTGCCCACCACAGCCTCAAGGCCCACAGTTCCTTTCAGGGTGCATCAATTTGTGCAGTGGGCCCCTAGTTATAATTGTATTAAAAAAAAAAAAACCCACAGATATATAAGATAAATCAGAAAAATTTATCAGATACAAATTACCTGCCTGCCTTCCTGATTGCTCCTAACCACTCTGCCTGCCAACCTGATCACCCCCTAAACACTCCCCTGCCAGCCTGATGGACACCTAACTGCTCCCCTGCCAGCCCGATCGTCCCCAACTGCCCTCCCCTAACGCCCTGGTCACCCCCAAATGTCCTCCCTTGCATATTCCCTCTTTATTAGATAGGGTTTTTTTCTTTAGCATATTGGACAATCCTAACTGGTTTGACTCAGAGGATGGAGCATTGGCCTGCAGACTCAAGGGTCCCAAGTTCGATTCTGGTCAAAGGCATGTACCTTGGTTGGGGGCACATACCCAGTGAGGTGTGTGCAGGAGGCAGCTGATGGATGTTTTTCTCTCACAGATGTTTCTAGCTCTCTATCCCTCTCCCTTCCTCTCTATAAAAAAATAAATAAAATATATATTTTTTAAAAAGAAACATTTAAGATTTCTCTATTCTGCCTGACTGGTGTGACACAATGGTTGAGAGCTCAGGCTGCCACTGTGGAAGGGGATCGTGCCCTGGCCAGCCTGAGACCCCAGCCCAGGCTGCATCTCAGCCTGGCTGGGGATCTCGAGGTGGGAGTGTGCGGCCCTAGACCAGGCTGCCACCAATGTCCTGAAGATCACATGGCAGGGGTGCACGGCCCTGCCTGTCTGAGACCCCAGCCCAAGCTGTCACCACGGCAGGGGAATCGCCCGGTGCTGGTGCACAGCCCCAGCGCAGGCTGCTGCTGATGGCTTGAAGATCACACTGTGGCGGAGGGGTTCCAGCCCAGCCTGCCTGAGGCCCCAGCCCAGGATGCCGCCATGGGATCATGCCTTGGGTGTGAGGCTCTGGCGGCCTGAGACCCAGCCCAGGCTGCCACTGCTGGCCAGGATCACAGCGGGCGCTGGTGCCTCCCAGCCGGACACCCTGGGCTGCCACCACTGGGTGGACTTGGGGACTCCAGAGGGGTTAGGAGGACTGGGTGCTGCCATCTTGTGGCTATGGGTGCCGCCATTTTTGTCACGGAGTGATGGTTATTTGCATATTACTCTTTTATTAGATAGGATGAAATGAAATCTAGCTTACCCAACACAGAAAACCCTCTGATAAACAATTTCTTCAGTGACTTTTACATATAAGATCTTTCAGGTCATTAAGTAAGTAAAGTTACTAAAATACACTCAAGCTCTAATTTGTAAGAATTATAGGAAAACTCTAAAAGATAGCCAATAAGTAAATATATACTAAGTTTACTAAACTGATCTAGCTATTTGAACTTGATCTTAAGAATCAGTATATAGTTAACAAATGTGTAGGAGAAAGGAAGATGAAGTGCATTCTTTTCTTACCTGATCCAAATGCCTGTCTCTCATGAGCTCATACTCATTCTGCAGTGTGTGCTGGAAAAGGGTCCAGATGATGTGTTCTAGCTCTGGGTGGTCAGACAGAAGACGTGCACATAGTGTGTTCAGGCGAAGATATGCTAGTCGATACACTTGAAGAGACAAGGGGAATTAGTTAGGTTTAGCGTTCATCTTGAATTATCAGTGGATTTAAAAAAAACACACACACATTAAGTGGCTATAACCATATGCTGTTAATTAGAATGTTAATAATAATTACACTTCTACCATTCTTCCCCTTATGAATAAATGATTCCTAGTCTTAGCATAATCCTAGGTAAAATAATACTTGCTGAATTGATTATTACAGCATAAAATTGAGGCAGAGTGGAAGGTAAAAGAAAGATCATAAGATATCATGGATTAGACAAACCACATAGGGTTTGTTTCAGTTCGTTGATAACGGCTCATCACAGATGTTGGGAATTCTATTGGTATTCAAAAGGGAACATTCTTTTTAAAAATGGAATTTTCAGTCTTAAATTTTCCAATCCTAAACACAAATACAAAGTATATTTATCTATAAAATGCCAATGGAGCATACACTGTTGAAAAAATGGTAGACTTGTACCACTAAGGGGTAACATGGCTATGATATAAACTTTATTTAGAGATTACTGTGTTAAAAATACTACAGGAAATACAGGGTTGGAGAAAAGGAATCCACAAAATTGAATTTTCCTCCGTCTAGTTTAAATATGAATAGTCCTGGTTTTAAATATACCATTAAAAGACTTGCATAAGGTAATCAGAATATTTTAGTTAAGAATTTATCCCAGTAGTTCTCAAATTTTAGTGCGCATCAGACTTGCAAAGAGTGCTTGTTAAAACAAGATTTTTTTTTTTTTTTTTTTTTTTGCTTCATCCTAGAGTTTCTGATTAAGTAGTTTATTTTGATTTCTACAGCTTTCTAGGTAAGTTGGACTCTGCTTGTTGGGGACTATACTTTGGAACCACTGCTTTTGTAAGAGCTGTCTTATAATATTTCGGACTTTACTAAATCAGAAAAAATGTTTAACACAGAGTAATGTGGCTTTTCACTTTCCTTTAAAGAGCCCCAAGTGTGCGTACACTTGTGTGTTTAAACACATGCACAGACATACAAACCAACCTCCCTGTACTACCATCACACACGATCAGAGTGCTATACGAGCTGGTTATTAGGAAATGTACCTGTACTAGGGCACAGCACATTGTGTACTCTCATATACATCGGAACACCTGAACATGCACGCCTGAACAGCAAAAGCAATATCAGGAGCAAGTATTTCCAAACATAAATTTGAAATTATAACAAAAGCAGCAACAACAACATTTTTCTGAGTGCTTACTATGTACTAGGCACCGTTGCAAGTATTTTATGTATTAATTCATTTAATTCTTTCAAAAAACCTATAAGGTAAATTATTATAATTATAAGGTAGATTATCATTTTTATGTTACAGATGAGGAGACCGAGGCATAGAGAATATTAAGTGTGCCATGATCACACCTAGTAAGCAGAAGAACCATGATTTGAACCTATTCAGCCTGGTTTCAGAGTCCATGCTCTTGAAAGTAATCACCTACTAACCTTTTTTGTAAAAGAGTGAGAGGGAGGTAGATTTCAATGGCTTCTGAGTCTGGAAGGCTGAGGTTGCTTGTGCCTCTGCATTTGCAGTAGAATTTACACGTGTAGTTGACCCTTTTTTCTTTGGGGATCTTAAAGGAGAAAGATACCTGGATATATTCAAAGGAAAAATCTTCATATATGTTTGTTAAAAACCTCTTTTTCTCCCTCACCCATTTTCCTCCCTCCCTCTAGCCCTATCACTCCTCTTCCGCTTCACACACAGTTGTACACATGTATCCAAACACACCTTATATATTTAATCTGTTGTTCTATTATTCCTTGAGCATTTATATATATATATATATATATTTATATAAATATATAAAAATTATATATATTTAATTATATAATGAAAAATATAGCTTAATAGGTAAACTAAGTTTGTCATTATCATTCTAACTCTTTAATAAATGGCTTTTCCAAGGAATTACTGCCATTTTGGAAAAAAACAAAACACTACATAGTATATATGTCCAATTTTAATAATTATAGTGGGATTGAGGTCACAACTTAAAATGACAAGTTGTTATACTAAAATAGTATTGTCATTTTTCTTTCCTCTTAAAAAATGTCTCAATAACTATGGTTCATATCTGTACATGTATATATACCCAACTAAATTATTTAATACAGATTTCTTTGAATTAATACTTTAGATGAAATTACAAGGCAAGATTTACACCTGGATGGGGCAAGAGTAAGCTTATAGTTGTTCACATGGAAAATAAAACAATAATAAAGAAATAATAATACAAGAATAAACTCATGTTTTTGTGTACTCAAAAATATAAACCTAATTTTCCCCATCCTGTATGTCAAAATATATATATATATTTTTTGTTAATCCTCACCTGGGGATATTTTTCCATTGTTTTTTAGGGAGAGTGGAAGAGAGAGGAAAAGACAGAGAGAAACATTGATTTTAGAGAAACACATAAACGTTGCCTCTTGCATGAACCCCAACCAGGGCCCTGGCTGGGGAGGAGCCAGCAACCAAGGTACGCACCCTTGACTGGAGTCAAACCCGGGACTCTTTGGTCCACTGGCCAACGCTTTATTCACTAAGTAAAACTGACTAGAGCAAATCTCAATTTCTGACATTTTACTACTATGTGTTGCCCTTTATTTTATAGGATAATACAAGTCCACTTTCTAATTTTACGTTAGTAGCTAAGAAATAATTCTGAACAGGAAGTAGGATTTGCACTTTACCATGGATGTTTCTACTACATGCAATATATTAACTAATACACTAGGAAAAGGGAATCACCATCATAATGATTTCATAAGTACCAGATCTAGTCTACTATCTCTTCATTATCCTATCTAATAAAAGCCTAATATGCTATGTTTGGTCATCCAGTCGGCCATTAAAACAAAGCAAAATATGCTAATTATATGCTAAGGCCACTCAGCCACTTGCTATAATATGCACTGACCACCAGGGGTAAGACAGTCAACCGGTTGACCAATTGCTATGATGTGCATTGACCACCAGGGGCAGAGATCCAACCGGTAGGTTAGCTTGCTGCTGGGGTCCGGCTGATCAGGAATGAGCGAGATTGGTCGGACATGCCCTGGAGCCCTCCCGCGGTCCCTCCCTGGCTGGCCAGCCCTGGTCGGCCCCAATTAGGACTGGTCAAGAAGGGGTTTGACATGCCCTGGAGCCCTCCTGTGGTCCCTCCCCGGTCCCAATTACGCATGCACTGGTGGGATCCCTCGGCCTGGCCTGCACCCTCTCACAATCTGGGATCCCTAGGAAAACATCAGAGAGCCAGTTTTGGCCCAATCAGGTCACTCCCAGACACAGAGCTCAAGCCTGGCGAGAGCTGCTGTGGTGGCGCCAGCCTCTTCTGATTGAGACAGATTGGGCGTGAACCTAAAGCAGGCTCAGTGAGGCTGGGATGAACAGGAGTGGCAGGTAGGAGGTGTAGGCGGTATTGGACTTTGGGTTTTGGCCTGATCCCTACAGGCTACCCCATCTGTATACGAATTCATGCATCAGGCCTCTAGTGTATGTGTGTATGTGTGTGTGTGTGTGTGTGTGTGTGTGTGTGTGTGTGTAGGCATATATATATATATATATATATATATATATATATATATATGCATATGTAGCATATATATATATGCCTAAGAGACCAAATGACTGGTCACTATGACGTGCACTGACCACTAGGAGGCCGATGCTCAATGCAGGAGCTGCCCCTGGTGGTCAGTGCGCTCCCACAGCCAACCTCCTGCAGTCCCTTCCCTTAGCCAGCTAACCTCCCATGACCCCTTCCCAGCCGGCCAGATTGCCCTGATTGCCAGCCAGGATGAGGGACTTCACCTGTGCAGCAATTTGTGCACTGACTCTCTAGTCTAACAATATTGTAGAATGACTGAACTTGGTTAGAATTTAGTCTCCTTTGAGTTCTGGGTGCACACATTCAATTACTTACTGGACCTTACTACTTGAATCTCAAAGTGGAGTTCTTGATTCTCCCCCTCCCCACCCCACCCTATTTCTCCCATCTCAATAAATGACTCTGCATTAGATCCAGTTTCTTAAGTCAGAAACTAGGAATTATTTCTAATTTATCTCTTTTCTTAGTTCTTCAAACCCAATGAAACACTGAGTCCTATTAAATCTCCCTCTAAAATACATCCAAGATCTTTCCATTTCTTTCTCCCTATTGAATGACATCTTTAGACCATGCCCCCTATATCTCTCACTTGGATTATTGAAATTATCTCCAAACTGGTCTTTCTACTTTCTTCCTTGCACCGTTTCTTTCCCTCCTCCAACCCTACCAGCACTTTAAACAGCAGCCAGAAAGTGGCCCTGTGAGGGGAGAGGGAGAAGTATAGCAAGCTGTAACCCTGCTTAAAACTTTAACGCTTTCCCATTGCCCTTCAAAACCCAAACTCCTTCCCATGGGAACATAGCTTGAGTTTAGTACAACCTCATCTTGTAGTAGTCTCCTCTTGCTCACTTTACTCCAGCCACTGAGATTTCTTTCTGTTCCTCAGACCAGACAAGTGTGATCTGCTCTAGGGCCACTCCACTTGCTGTCCGCTCTGTCTGGAATGCATGCCATGCAGATTTTTGCCTGGCCAGCACCCACTTGTCCTTGAGTCTCAGGTCAAACTTCATCAGAGAAAGCTTCCCTAAACATTCTATCCCTCTCATTTTCTTTCTTTCACCATGCTCTTATTATTTTCATTACAGAACTTATTGTACTCTAAAATCATCCCAGGTATTAGTTGACATATTCACTGTCTATTTCCTTCCTCCACAATGTAAGCTCTAGGAGGGGAAAGATCTAGTCCACCTCATTCGCCTTTGTATTCCTACTGCCTAGAACAACTCTTGACAAATGCCTTGTTATATGAAAGAAAAAGATAAGGCTTGACTTACTTATATTAATGTATTATCTAGCAAACAAATTTATATGTGAAAGCAGAGGGTCCATATGCTAGAAATACAAGCTAGCAGGGAATCAGGGAATCAACATCTCTAGAAAATAGTGCCTGCTAATCGGGGACACTGTAATGTCAATGCTGACAGAGAACTCAACAGAAACATACATTAGGTACATTTCTATGAAAAGCAGTGTATTTGGAATGTTTAAGAACATGGGCTTTGGAGTCAGATTGCTTGGATTTGATTTCTGTGGACTTTTGGCAAGTTACCTTATTGATCTAATTCCTATTTTATAGGTAACTGAGGCTGATAGCAGTATCTGCTACCTTACGGGGCTGTTGGGAAGATTAAATAGGAAATAAAAGAAAGAATCTGAAGTACTTAGGCAACTGTTCAGCACACAGTGACCCTTCAGTAAATGTTAGCTATTGCTTTCTTCTTCCATCATTATCATACATTTATCAACTGTTTTAATCTCATATGCCACTCTAGGCCCTGTGCCTATCCCATGCTTCACTCCAAATACACTGATCTAACTCCCTGTAAAATGTTTCCTGGCTATTAAGCTTTGAAATTCATGCCATTTCTGACTCCTGGAACACTTTTCTGTCTCCTCCATCCTCTCCAGTTTACATTTTGAAATCCTATTCAATATTTAAGGGCTATTAAATTGGTATCTTTGTCATGAAAACTGTCCTCATTACACCAAACCTGAGTGATTTCGGTAGCATTTTGTATCACCTTAATTATATGACCTTTAATTGAGTTATGCATTCTATATTCCTTTTTTTTTTTTAAAGCAACAATGTTCTTATTCAAAATTCTATTCCCTAGAGCTTTACTATATAGTATCTCACATTATACTATGCTCAAATCCATTTGTAGGTCAAATAGATAACACAAAATATATTCAACTTACATATCTGCTGCAGTGTGATTATTCTGGAGAGGAAGGTTGAGAGTACAAGCAGATTCAAGGTTGTCACCTGGCCCTTCTCGGTCCTTTGCTTGTTTAATAAGATCAAATAAAGGTGAATCCTATATGAAACAAAATGATATTAAAACAACATTGGTAAGTATGATTTTCCCACTTACATATCAAAATAATATTTTTGACATGGTCAGCACTAATGTAGAAGTCAGAATGAGATCTTTAAAAAATATATTTTTATCGAGTTCAAAGAGTAAGACAGAGGGAGAGAGAAAGATAGAAATAATAATGATGAGAGAGAATCATTGATTGGCTGGGGATTGAGCCCACAACCTGGCCATGTGCCCTGACTGGGAATGGAACTGACTTCCTGGCTCACAGGTTGATGCTCAATCACTGAGCCACACTGGCCGAGCTTGGAATGAGAACTTGTTTTCCACTTTGAGAATACAAAGTGCCAATTTTAGTACTATAAAAAAAAGGACTAGGAAAATGTATATATATCTTTAAATGTTTATATTAGTAAAGAAATTTTAAGTTAGAAAAAAAAAGACACAGAAAAAAACCTAAGAAGGTAAAAAGAAGGAAATAGTAAAGATATGAGAGAATTTAATAAAACTGAAAAAAAGACAAAATACGGTTTGATCAACATGCCTAATAATCGGTTATTTGAAATAATAAAACGAAATAAACTAGCAGTAACATTGACTAAGAGACAGATAAAGAGTATTAATAACAAAAAGTGGGACCTTCATAAAAAGATTAGAAAGATAATAAGGAATTGTTATGAATAATTTTATGTCAATATATTAGAAATCTTACATCAAGTGGACAATTCCACAAAAACATAAATGAGCAAAACTCAAAAAAGAAAGAAATAACATAATCTCAATAATCCTACAAACTATTAAATAATTGAATCAGTAATTTAAAATTTTGGCTTCGGAGAGCTTATCTATAATACATTGACTACCAAGAATAGCATTAAGTACTTTGTATTTCCTTCTCACAACAAATTCTAGGAGAAAAGTACTATTTTTTTTTCCACTGTCATTTTACAAGTGAAGAAAGGTGGGCTAAGAGTACATTGCCCAAAGCCACAGTTAGCAAGAGGTGGATCCAGCACATGGCACCAAGTTTTTTGACGCCAGAGCCTTTGTTTTACCCATATACTACAGTTTCTAATCTAATGAAGAAAATAACCGGTTTAAAAATCTCAGTACAGAGTGATACGTTGCACAGGTTGCTATACAAATCAAGAGAGGGACAACTAATCCAAATAAAGGCTTCCTGGAAGAGATTATACTTGATTTGAGTCCTAAAGAAAAAAGTTATTTTAAATAAAATAAGTCAGAAAAATTTCACATAGCTTACTTGTAACCTTGATAGGATTGTTTTGATAAGTAAATAAGATAAGTGCAAAATACGCAGGACCACCACCTGGGGCATAAACTCTTAAGACTAAAATAATTTGTACCATAAAATAAAACATAGATTGCATAGCATAGAAAGAATGAGAGATAAACTCAATGAAGGATTTTAAGCAGGTGACTAACAGGAACCAGGAAGGACTTTCGAGAGTTCTTAAAATCTCAGTGCCTCTTGTATAATGAACACTCAATATATATTTCCAAAATGTTATATAACATAGTTATATCATGGGTTAAATTAAATACAGCAAAGCAAGAGAAAAAAAACAAACTGATATAATTTGCTTTCTAACTGATACTAAATATCAACTGTGGCTGCTGGCCTCTAAGATAACCCCAATAATTCCTGCCACTAGGTATTTACCACCCTCACATAGATCCCTCCTATACTGTATCAAAGTTATTCTGTGTAGTCAATGGCATACAGCAGGAATGATGGGATGTCATTTCTAAGATTAGCTTATAAAAACCTGCATTTCCCATCATGGGCACTTTCTCTCTCTCGGATCTCCTGCTTTGGGGAAAACAGCTGCCATGTACTGAGCACTCTTGAGAAGTTCACATGGCAAACAAATGAAGTCTCTGGCCAACAGCAAGTTGAAGAAACGAGGGCTGCCAACATTCATCTGAGTGAACCTGGAAGCAGGTTCTCCAATTCCAATAAGGCCTTAAACTGACTACAGCCTTGGTGCAAACTTGAGGACCTCTTCTGACAGAATCAGAGCCAAAACCACAGGGCGAAGCCACCCCCAGATTCCTGATCTTAAGAAATTGTGGGAGATAATAAATGTTAGTTGTTTTAAGTTGCTATGTTTTAGGAAAATTTCTTACACAGAATAGATAATTAATAGAGCAACTGTTTGTTTTTTTTAACTGTAAAGAAAATATTTAATGGCATGTTTAATTTTTTGAAAATTTATGTATTCATATCTATAGCATTGTTTCCATCCAGACTAAGATAGCAGTTATCCTATTGGACTCAGCCACGCTGTCTCATGTCATTATGTATCTACTTAAATTAACTGTCAGCATAATCATTCTTCGGACAATACTCCACTCTATTTTGCCACTTAATCTTGTGAAGGAAACCAGACTCTGTAATCAAGATTAGTATAAATCACACTGAATAATGTGATAGAAAAAGTAGAAGCTATTCTATGCCTATTCTACATCTATCATAATTAAATACATTTCTAAAGCAAGCATGAACTTCTCCAGAGAGTAAAAGACTTAAAAGGCTAGTTAGGCCAAGGTGATCTGAAAAGATAATTTGGTCATCCAACAAGCTGTCCAGTGCTAGTACAAGGTGTCCAGTGCTAGCAGAAAAATTAACAATAGGGAAAGTGGAAGACAGGAATTGCTATTGTTTTCTAGGTATTTTAAGAATTGTTATTGGACTTAACATTACAGGAAATGTTTTGTACTATTCTAAGCCAAATCATTATGAGACCATTTTGACTTGCAAATGGAAATCAGAATACAAATTTGGAGCAGGCCTTGACCTTTCTGACAGTTCTTCCTATTAACTTCACTACTTAATATTGATATTCCTCAGGATCCTCTTGCCAGTATGTATAGTTGAACCACTATCATGGCTTTAATTATACCTATATTACTCCTAAGTCTACATTTATGACTACAACTACTCTTTTAAGTTTCAGATCCATTATTTCCAACTAGAGACCTCAGGTCTGCATGTATGTACATATGGCAAACATTTCAAATACTAATATGATCAAACATTAACATGAATTCATTACCCTCATCACCAATAAGATATGGCCCTTTGGTTAACTGTGTTATAACTACCTGATCACCCACAGTACAAATCTTAGAATTGTTCTCACTTACATCTAGGCACCAAATCTTTGATTCATGCTTTTATTTTAACTTATTTATGTATTTTTGTTTAAAATTGGTTTCTTACAGATAGCACAAGAAATTAATTTTTTCTCCCTTTAATTTAATCTCTGTCTTTTAATTGAGGTGTTTAGACCACTTACATTTACATATTAATATGGTTAGTTTAAATCATACATCTATTGGTCTCACCTATCTCTGTTCCCTTTTTAACAAAGTATAAAAACAAATTAATGGAAAAGGAATAGACTTTACAAAAAAATGGTGCTAAAACAACTGAATATCTATAGGCAAGAAATGGAAGAAAAGAGAGAGGAGAGAGAGAGGAAAAAAGAAAGAAAATGAATGAACCTTGTACAAAAATAAACTGAAATAGTACATAGTCTTAAATATAAAAAATAAATCTATAAAACTTTTATTTAAAGCTCAAGGGAGAGTCTTTAGGACCTAGTTCTTAGAGTTGACACTAACACATGATCCAAAAACAAAAACAAAAACACACACACAAAAAACACACACACACAATAACCTGATAAACTAGACTTTGTCAAAAGTAAAAACTTTTCCTATGAGAAAGACAATGAGGAGAGAATAAAAAAGAATCTACTAAAAATAATCATTTGTAAACTATATACTAAATAAAAGGCCAGTATCTAGAAGATATAAAGAATTCTCAAAACCTAATGAGTAAAAAAACTAACAAGGCAGAATGAATCTAGTCAAGATAGCAGAGCAGTTAAACGCTATGCTCACCTCCTCCCATGACCACACACAACAATTATAGATAAATTATAGAACAGTCACTCTGGAGAACCATCTAAAGACCAGATGAACCAAATTCCTATAACTAAAGATATAAAGAAGAAACCACGTCGAGACTGATAAGAGGGTAGAGATGAAAAACAGGCAGGTACCACACTCACGTGTGGCAGTAGAGAATCAGGAGTAATATCTTGGTGGCAGAGGTCCGGCTGAGAAGTGAGGGGTCCCAGCCCAGAGTACCAGTGCCAAGAAGAGTAGTTCCCACAACATCTGGCTGTGAAAATCAGGAGGGACTCTGTTTGGGAGAGATGAAGGGCGGCTGGAAACCCAGGCATCCATTTCCTGGGTCTGCACACAGACTCACTCACACTCAACCAACGCTCCAAAGATGGAAACATACCAGGCACTATAATTTTGCAAGTACAGGTCTTTTACGTCTTTGGTTAAATTTACTAAAAAGTTTTGTACAGAAAAATAAGCCATCAGCAAAATGAAAAGGGAAACCACTGAATGAGAGAACATATTTACCAATGATACATCTGACAAGGGGTTAATTAACAAAATATATAAACACTTATACAATTCAATACCAAAAAGACAAAAGACCAAGTTAAAAAATAAGCACCTAAATAGAGACTTCTCCAAAGAGGACATACATATGGTCAATAGACATATCAATATTAATCATCAGAAAAATGCAAATTAAAACCACACTGAGATATCACCTTACTCCTGTCAGAATGGCTATAAGCAATAAATCAACAAACAACAAGTACAGGCAAGAATGTGGAGAAAAAGGAAGCCTTGTGCACTGTTAGTAAAAATATAGACTTGATGCATCCACTGTGGACAATAGTATGGAGTTTCCTTAAAAAATTAAAAATGGACCTGCCTTTTGACTCAGCAATCCCTCTTTTAGGATTATATTTGAAGAAACCCAAAACATTAATTTGAAAGAATATATGCACCTCTATGTTCATTAAAGTTATTATTTACATTAGCCAAGATCTGACTATAACACAAGTGCCCATCAGTAGATGTGTAGATAAAAAAGC